CCAAACATTCACAATAGGATACTGGTTTATAATTGGGGGAAAAGGCTATTGTTTTAAAATAAAGAATTTCTTGTAAAAGAATATGTAAATATGCCCATTGTTCAAAACCATCCTAAGTAACAAACTACTGGTAGGTGCTATTGTCTCTGAGCAGTGATATTATTGATTTTCACTTAAACATTCTTGCTTCTTTGTAACCTGCTAAGTCTGTATGACTCATTCTGTCATTCAGTCAACAGTGAGCATCTGCTATGATATACTTCAATAAGGAAAATACTGAAAAGACTTCGATCTTGTCTTCATACAAAAATCTACACGGGCCGGACCCTTTACAAGAAGGCCCCTACCTTGTGTCTTGTGACCTGTGACCCCTTTGACCTAATTTTGGACAGCTGCCTCCTGGTCACTCACTCCAGGCACCTGGGCTTCCTCACCGTTCCTCACGTGTGCCAGGCTGACTTTGCTCTTACAGTTTCCTTTGCAGGAAGTTGTCCTCTGCCCCCAACCTGAGGATGCTCCTCAGATGTCACTTTAGGAAGACTCTTTTGTACTTTCTGTGCCAAATAGAAACAGCCCCTCAGACAGAAACACCATCTCCTGTACCTTGTTTTTCTTCACTTCAACATCCAGGGCAGTTCTGCTGCCAAGAGTGTCTCACTTTCCTGAGCATGTGCTGTGACTGGACTTTCTGGCCCTTTGCAACATTGGCTTGTTTTGGCCCAGAAAAGAAGAGAAGTGCCCTGTGTCACATTATAAGCCTTGAGAATCAGTGTACAACTCATCATTTGATCTTCTGCCTAAGACTAGCCTTACTCCATGGTGGTTCTCTGGATAGCCTGAGTGCCGGAGGGAAGTGATCCAGAGGAGAGCCCCTCCTTCCGACCTTCAGTGAACACGCTGTGATGAGGAATAAACTTTGTTGTTTCAAGCCTCTGAGATGCTTATACACCTCTGAGGTGTTTATTGCCACAAAACAATCTATCCTGACTGACAGACTACCTGACATATTTATCTGTTTCCTGTCTCCCCTCTCTAAATTATTATCTATATAAATACAGGACTCTATTCCCTGCTGCATTGCCAGTGACTGGAATACTGGGACACAGGTTACATTTTAGTATTTGTTCGTTGACTGCATGAATCATTAGTTGATCATGCCATGTGAAGTAGGAGATTTAACAATGGCAGGTAAATAACTCTGGACCGAATGATTCAACAGAAATATCCAACTCCAGCTGATGGGAACATGAACACGCTGGTTCCCGATTCAAGCTCCCAAACAGTGGTTAACAGCACAACTCACCTACGAGTGAAGCACATAAAGTAGGCAAAGCTGTAAGACAAACGGAGGCCTGGCATGTCACAGAGGGGCTCAGTGACAGTCATAAATAAAAAGGATTAGCCGTGTTTGTGTCAAGGCTGAATGCTGATGTGGTTTCCTTTCCCTGGGTGGACATTAGCATTTGAAATGAACTGAGCTTCAGAGAGAGAGGATTTTATCTGCTCTTATCATAAACTGGTGTGTGAGCCCCTCTAAGGACTTTTGCAAAGGCTGTGTGAGCTTTTGTGAGCTGCTTTCTTTTCACATGCTTCCTCCTCGTATGCCTGAATTTGAACGGGGACAATGCATTTCCTGTATCATGTGACACAGCACAAGGAAACTCCTTGTGTCCCTACAGAGGACGAGTACATCTGTAAGTAGTTTTTAAGACTGTACTGAAGGGGCTTGTTAGGGTGACTTACTCTCCCAGTTCGATTTGGGTGATGAAGTGTGCCACGTGACAGATGTGCATAATAAACCGCTTCAGCTGCTGCCAGTGGGAAGCGCGGCCTATAAAGTGAGAAATCTCATGGAATCACTGAGACCATGACCAATAAGTGAGAAGCTAGCCTCGTTTGGAGTTCTCATTTCTCACTGCCACAATGTGCCAGTGTTACTAGGCTTCTGATTTACTGATTTTCCCCCAAAGCAACTGCCTTTCCAGTTTGTTCCTAATTCAGACTGGGACAGACAGCTATTTCTGCACACAGTAGCAAGATGGGCCAGTAATCATCCATTAAATGCACTTGCAAGGAGTCTTTGGATGTTTTGTCATGAAAAAAGGAAACCCATTACATCTAAGAATGGGAATGCTGGGATTTGGGTTTTGCCTTTTCCAAACTATTTCTTTTCCTCCTTTCTGAATTTCTTTTCTCTATCTGTTCCATTAATTTCCCCCTTTGTATACTCATTAGTAATCCCCTAATGAATATGACAAGGCATATTCATTTTTTTTTTTTTTTTTTGGTGGGTGGTAGACAACAGTGATTTCAAACCCCAAGCCACCAGCTGACAAACTTATTCCTGGAGTGGCCCGCCTTGAAGTTAACTCTGGATGCTTGTAGGGTCCTGATGAAATGACTTCAGGTTGGTTATGTTCATTTCTGCCATGGAGCTTCCACATGTGCTGGGCTCTGCTCTAGGCCCCCACCCGCCGTGGGGGAGACTGAAGAAGCACCGCATGTAACCTGTGACGTGCAAAGTCGGGGAGTAAATGCTGCATCTCACGACATTACAGCCCCGCAGGTAACAGGCCTTGGGGTGGGTCTCAGAGAGGACTGTCAGGGAAGGAGGCAGGAACTGAGTTGGACCGTAAGGCACAGGTATGTTTTAGGTGTCAAAAGAGCAAATTGCTCTATTAGAGATCAGGAGAGCATGACATTTTGACTGAATTCTGCTCTTTGTGGCAAGGAACTTAACAGCCATACATGTTAGCTACATAACCTAAGTCATCTAAGGCAGGGTTTAAAATATTCATCACATGTTTGTAATTGGCAATTAATCACATTATAACGTACCAAGACACCCCAGCTGTGAGCTCTATGCTGGCTATGAAGACAGGAGTTATTGTCTAGTATACCAATGAGTGTCACAGATAAGTGCTGAAGAACTGAAGGGAAATGGAAAAACAGAATCTGAGCAATGAGAACACAGTCTTCAGACAGCAGCAAGCCACTTCTGAGGCCTCCTTTGGACACTTTAAATATGTCAATTTCGCATTGATGAGCTTAAGGAATTCTTTATGGACAGGAGGCCGGCACTCTCCAGAAAGACCCTGGCTCCTCAGCAACCTCCTCCTGACAGGCTGACAACTCTGGCTCTTTTCTGCAGTGGGATGACAAGACCTGACAGCAACTGTTGAGTTCACAAAGCGGGATGACTTGTTGTTAGGGCCAAGTGTTGACTTCTGATCTTTTCAGAAAAGTGTGACACTCTCTAATTTATGCCTAATTGGAACTGGCCACAAGACACACTGAAATAACCACTTCTCCTCAAAAAACCATTTTAGATTTCATGCAGTTTCAATTCCAAAACAACTTTCACCTAAAGCCTATTACCAACACAAGTATCTCCCAATTTTACTTCACATATCCCAATAATACCACTTCTGGGGACATGAGTCTGGCCTTATTAATCCCTTTGGTGGTGAGTGGTTGGAAGAAACAATATTGAACAGCATTTATGAAAAAAACCCACAAAACCTTTTTGACCATTTTCCCTATTGCAAGTTCTATAAATACTTGAATGTGGGAACACAGACACATGGTTTGCACATGTGCATAAATATGCATTCCTGTACTTCACTTATTTACTGCAAAGTGTTATGCCAGAACACTTATTATTTTTGCTGAAGTCCAGTTGTGATCCTTCAGCGATAAGGACCTAACAGGCATGTTTGCTGGCAGCCAGAAACCTAAATGAGACGAGGTTACTGGTTCCTCTATGAGAGACTGTTCCCTCAGTGTTTTCATCCCCACATTTTGCTATCCCACTTGCTACAGGGCTGAAGTCTACAAACTCTAATCCAAAGAAGGAATTCTTGAGGGACTTCCTCAGGAGAATCAGCTTGAAAAGGCAACTGGCCTCAGAAGCCAAGGACGCTGGCTGGCTACCACGGTGGAATGTTAAAGCCACAGCAGAGTGAAAGGAATCTGTGTTCCTTGTTTTAAAATGTCCATTATTTCCATCTTTGCACTAATGAAAAAAAATGTAAATTAGTGATTTTACTTTTAGGATCTTTAATAAAGGAGGTATTTTTTGTTGTTATTCCCAAAAGATACCTTGAAAAAAATAGATGCTGAAGTTTGGGTGCCTCTGAAAATGACTTGGAATAATGATGTTTGCTAAACGGGGAAGCTCTGATACTATATGAATCAACTTTCATTATTCTTTAATGAATCTTTGCAATTATTTATCCTAAAATTTTGCAAGCCTGACTTTTGCTCACCTTGCTGTGGAATGCTTTAAAGGATGTCTCATCTAATAACAGAGAAAATGATAAATTATAAATAGCAAATCACACGGTGGTGATTTAGATGGCACTAAGGTAAGAGTGTAAGCAATAAAATAAAATTTCCCAACCACCCACTACATTAACAGCAAACAACAAACAGCTGTCTATATAACTAAAGACAGATGCACTAACATGCTTTTCTTTTTTTGTTTGTTTTTGTTTTTGGAGACAGGGTTTCTCTGGGTAGACTCAGCTGTCCTGGAACTCACTCTGTAGACCAGGCTGGCCCCGAACTCATAGAAATCCACTTGCCTCTGCCTCCCAAGTGTTGGGATTAAAGGCATGTGCTATCACCACACAGCTCACCAACATGCTTATTAACATGCAAAATACTGTTTTTTTTAAACTTTGAAATTATAAAGCAAAATACTGAGAATTTTTTTTATTAGTTTATGAAGTTCAATATTCATGAGAGAGAATGAAGTAATTTTATTTTAAATGTGATCTGGTAATACCAATACCTAAAAAACAAGAGAAACAACTACAACTATGTTTAATCCTTGCTCTCAATCTCGTAAGCATTTGGTAGAGTGATACAGAGCTGCTCACATTTACCTGGGTCTGAGTCTGATTTTGTCCTTCCTGGCTGTCTGATCTTCGACAAGTTATTTAACCCTTTGGCCCTGTTTCCTTTAACTGTGAAATAGGGAATAGAGTCTTTCCTACCTTAAAAAGTTATTGTGAGGATCACAAATAAAACACTCGAGGGCTGGGAGTACAGCTCAGTGGCAGGACACGAAGCCCTTAGTTCAAGTTGCAGCACTGAAAAAAACAAATGAACAAACACAATATTTGAACTAAAACTAGCAGAGCAAACAGTAAGTAGTCAGTGAAACTATGTTCTAGAGTATCCCAATCGATTTTTCTATCGAAATCTCTCTGGTAGCTTTTCTTCTCACTCCAGTCTTTGACATGTCCATACAGCACTCTATGTTGGCCTTTGCTTTCTCTCTGACCTGATTTCTGGCCACTTTCCATTTCTCCATCAGCCCTGGCACCCTGACCTCCTACCTGGCTGCTCTGTAGTAACAATAGGCACCTCTCACCTCAGGACTTGTAAAGTAAGGTCCACCCCACATTTCTCATATACATTTTCTGGCATTCAGGTCTTATCTCAGAAATACTTTGTCAATGAAAATGTCCATGGACATCTCATCTAACATATAAGGATCTCATTTTACTGATACTTTTCATCTCCTTTCCTGTCTATACTTGCTTTAGTTTAATTACTTACAAATATGGTATTTATTTTACTAATTTACTGACTTGCCTTCATTATTTTCTTCATCTACTACTCCAAAAAGATAAGGATTTTTGTTCTAATCATTATGGTATCCCACTGTGTTTATTAGAACTATGTTTACCATTACAGCAACTATCAAATATTTAGTTGCTAACTGGATGGTTAGATTTTACTTAATTTTTAAATTAAAATCTCATACCCTAAATACATATTTCCTAATTCCAAAGTTTAACAAAACTTATTTGTTTACTTTTTTGTCACAAAGACTTCTCTTGGTAGCCATCAGAAATGATGACTGTTAATAATAGCTATAGCAACAACCATTACTGGTTTTGTTCTTATGTGATGCTGAGGCTCAAACTCAGGGCCTTGCACATGCCAAGCAAATTCTCTACTGCTGAGCTACCCTCCCAGCCCACATTCATATTTAAAAGTCTGATGGTTATACATCCAAACTGAAAAGACAAGATTAGTCTGCACTGGCCATGATGTAACTAACTACTCCTATCAACCTTCAGCATGTCACCTGGAGGGAGAAAAAAAGATGTTTGCTGGACTCCTTGGTTACCCTATCAGCCACATGTTCTGCTTTTCCTTTCTACTCTGCAGGTAGGGAAGCGTCCTAGATAAATATGACACACACTTTCCAGACTCTGAATACACTCAAGGGCAGGGTAGAAGCCAATATTGTTATTGAAATACCCTTTTCCCTTCCAGGGTTTTGAGGAGTCCTAAACATGGGCATGTTTAGACATAGGTATCTACTGTGTTCTAGGCATTCCATGAGTAGCCTTATACAGTCCATCTAACTTATTCTTCACAGTGATCCTGCAGGGTGCCATTATTATCCCTAATCTTTACATGAGGAACAGAAGTAAAACCAGGGCTCTGGGAGAATGTTTTCTGCTCAAGGCCACCTGACTAATAAATGGTAGAGTAAGTCATAGCGTATTTATCAAGGACATGACAACATTTTTCTTTCCTCTTTGCCACTGTGAGCAATTTCCCAAACATTTAAACAATTGCTGTGTCTTGAGCAAATGACTTTGGCAGCCACCAACCTGGCTTACAGCTATTGGAGTCTGAGCAGCCTATCTACCTCAAACAGTGAGAGAACTGGGATGTCAGATACAGGCTGACATCAGAGGAAGATCCTGTCACATAACATGCAGATAGGATTTCTTTCCCCCCTAATGAGTACAAGTCTTTAAATTCCACTTGTTTTTCAGCATTGGATATCAAACCCAGGGCTCTGCACAGGCTAGGCAAGTCCTCTATCTTTGGACTACACCTCCAGCCTTTGTTTCTTTTTTGGGACAAGGTCTTGCTACTATACATCTGTGGTTAGCCTTGAACTTGCTATGTAGCCCAGGTTGGCATGATGGCAACATCCTCCTACCTCTGTTTCCCAAGTGCTAGGATTAGTGGTGTGCACTACCATATCTGGTTTTTTTTTTTTTTTACAGTTATTTATTTATTCATTTCATTATTTGATTTTCTGGTGTGTGTGTGTGTGTGTGTGTGTGTGTGTGTGTGTGTGTGTGTGTGTGACTTCTTTGATGGCACTTACATTGCTCTGATTTTATTAAAATACATGCATTTATTTTACATTATACCCCTTTGGACCCCCAACTTGCCTTCTACTGGATTTTGCTGACAGTGCCATAGGCCCTGCATCTAACCACTATACAGTGTTTTGTTGTGGAATATTAGTTACATTAATTTATGCTGTGGAATACTTGTTTAATGATGCAAAGATGTGTTGCATTCTTTTATGTTGCATTTGTTTAACTCTGTAAGGCTGTGTTATCTTGCCTGTCTAAAATACTTGATTGGTCTAATAAAGAGCTGAATGGCCAATAGCTAGACAGGAGAGAGGGAAAGGTGGGGCTGGCCGGCAGAGGGAATAAATAGAAGAAGAGAAGAAAGAAGGGGGGCAAAAAGGAGGAGGAGAGAGGACACCAGGGGCCAGCCACCAAGTCATACAAACAGCCACAGAGTAAGAAGGAAAAAAAGAAATAGAGAATAGAGAAAGATGAAAGCCCAGAGGCAAAAGGTAGACAGGATAATTTAAGTTAAGAAAAGCTGGCTAGAAATAAGCCAAGCTAAGGCCAGGCATTCATAAGTAAGAATAAGACTCCGTGTATTTATTTGGGAGCTGGGTGGTGGGCCCTCAAGAGCAAAGAGTAAAAGTTAAAAAAAAAAAAAAAAGAAAGAAAAAGAAGAAAACAAAACCAACAAAAACCACACAAAATAACTACAGTGTTTGAGCAGGAAGGAATCATCCTTTCTAACTTCTAAGGTTATAGATGGGGAAACTGAACCAGAGAGGATATGACTTATCCTTAGAACTCTGATTTTCATTTCTTAGTTATTCTTATTCCATACTACCTCCCTGTCTTGGAACAGAGATATATGCATTGAATTTGCCTTAAGGGGAAAAAGAGGCATTCAGTAAAGGTGTGTAGATAACATAAAGAAATGATAGAAATATTTCAATAAACAATAGCAATCTATTTAATGAGGTTAGATAACAGCAGAAATGGGGAATGGGGAAGTCAACACAAAGCAATGATAATGGACTCGATAGGACTCTTAATTGATGTGAAAGGAGTTTGATTCAGGTAGTGATAAAGAAAAAGTGGCTAAAAATAAGAGGCAAATATGGAATAGTGATTAAGGCACAATTGCTTTCAAATCCTGGATCCCTCTTGTTTATGACCTTCCATTCATCAGTAAACATCTGTGGAACATCAGCATGGTTGGGCATGGTTCTAGGCACTTTGGCTATGTCAGAGAATAGAACAAAGATCCCTGTTTCTCTGGCAGATACTGTCCAGTTATGCTTTAACCTCTGTTTCTCCATACATAAAATGGATAACAAGATCCATTCAAACAGCTGCTGTGAAGACAAAATGGTCAACAAACCCAAGAGTCATTAGGCCCACATTTTGAGTCAGCAGGATGAAAGTGATGCTACTAGGAACTAGGAAGTCAGCATTATAATACAGAGCTGGGACAAGATCCAATGTGAGAGTATCACATTACCAGCCTGTTATCACCCCAAGTTTCTAACAGATGTAATCCAACCTTCAAGTGACTGCAGAAAGTCACTCAATTTGAAGGTGGGAAGAGATTATTAAACAGACCAGATCTCTGGCAACACAGAGGTCATCTGGATGGAGAAAGAGAAGAACAGATGGGCAGTGACTCAAACAGGTGCGGGAGAAACCACAGTGCCAGAAGGTACATGTCTATCTATTGAGGTTCTCAGAGCATGGTCCCTAAACTAGCACCATGAAGATACCAAAGAAATTGAGAAAGGAGGGAGGGAGGGAGAGAAAAAGGGAGGAAGGGGGTATGAAATTCTCAGACTCCAAACAAAACCTACTCACAGAATCTCCAAGGGTGGGAACAATCTTTATCTAGGTCCTTTTTTGCTAACATTAGCAAACTACTGAGACAGACTATTGGACTAAGAAATGTCTTCCTGCTATAAGCCTCTAGCCTTTGTTGACTTTGTCCCAGCATCCCACAAGAGAGGCAGGAACACTTTATATACATTTTTTCAGCTTGTTCTGTTATTGGTTCCTGTGGGGGAACCTACTCATTTCTCTGTGGGAGGCCAGGTTACTCTTGGGGAGGGAGGAGTGAGAAATATTTAGATACAAAGATAGAGGGGAGAGAAACAGAAACACAGGACAGCCTCGGGAGGGCCTGGATCAATATCCACCGGCCCCTTCTGTCTCTTCAAGAGGGCTTTTTATAGAAATGCCAAGGGGAAGGGCAAAAGACCTCCCCCTAGCACAGCCAAGTGCAGACCCTTCCAATCACCTGGTAACCACACACATGGTTAAGCCATCCTCTAATGCAGCCCTGATGGGTAAAGCAAGCTCTGATAACACTAGGAAACCTCTATGGGCTCCCATAGGCTCCCATAGGTTCCCGTTCCCACATCCCCCAGAGTCTTATGTAGCTCAGGCCTGCTAACAAATCACTATGTAATTCAGGCTGCCCCCAACCTTGTGACTCTCCTGCCTCAGCCTTACCAGTGCTAAGATTACAAGTGGACATTACCACTCTTGGTTATTTGTTTTTCCTTTTAACAAGGCTCTGTGAGGTGAAGAAATGATATTTGGGAAGGTCTTCAGGGACTTAAGTCAGTGAAAACCCTCAATTTGAGCCTTTCACTCAAATTCTGGCAAGAGGATTAAACACAAACATATATCCATATAGGACTTTCCACATACTTTGATGTTTATTAGTAAGATATTTCTGGCTTTTCAGAATTCTGTGCTGGATTATGATTATCACAGAACTGGGATTCAAACACATTATAGAAGTATGGGTATCAAAAATAATAGCAATTAAAATTAGATACCATACCAGCCAGGCGGTGGTGGCGCACGCCTTTAATCCCAGCACTCGGGAGGCAGAGCCAGGCAGATCTCTGTGGGTTCGAGGCCAGCCTGGGCTAACAAGTGAGTTCCAGGAAAGGTGCAAAGCTACACAGAGAAAC